CAAAACCATTATACCCTGATTTCCCATTTTCAATGGGTTCAGGGTATAAAAAATAATAATAATAATAATAATAATAATAATCATACGAAACGTCTATTCAAGACTTGTCGACTTTGGGCTAAGGCTAAAACAAAATAAGGTAAGCCCGAACTGCAACGTTGTTTTTTTATTGCATTACCCGTTTTCAAGGGTTCATATCTAGAAACTAGAAATTAAATTTATTGAATTGAATTGAATTGAATAATGCATATTATAAGTTAACCTCTCTGAATTAACCTCTCTCTCTTGCTAAGGTCCTTAATATCTTCCATATTTACAGACAGTCGAAACGCGACAACTATTAACTAGTTGATTCCAACTGTAAAAACTGTACAAACAAACAGTGCAACTGCACGACTAGGAGATCCCCTGAACCCTGCAAACTTATAATATTGCAATCACTTTACGATTTCCATATACACACATAGAAAAAAACCCATGCACATGCACGTGCTCTGCTCACTGAGCAGCTAGCAGCGACTGCAACCAGGCTGCACAGCAGTGTAGCCAATATTATGAGAGTTTATTTGTTGAATAATTTCCCTCATAGTTAAACTATCTTCATCAAATATCAGAGCACGATAAAAACGTTCAATAAAGCAAAGATCATTTCCTTTTTGACGGTTACCCCTTTCCACAGTCGGTCTCAATTTCGCTAATCTGTACAGTTTGAGTGCGTATAATGCATTCATGTGGACCACCGGCAACGCTCATTCTCTATTCTGTTACTGTTCTGCACAACAAGTAAAATGTAACGACCCTCGATTGGACTAGTTAGCATGTAAAAAAACAACTTGCAACTCTCGCTTTTATATCTAGTATTTACTATAATGGAGCATTCCTATGGGTGACTCGTATGTGGACTAATAACAATCTCGTGCAGCGCAAAAGTTTAGGCAACGAAATGTCAATTTTGATATCTGCGCCACATTCCGTGTTCCTGTTGTTCCATGTATAATTATTATCTAATCCCTTGTGGTGGAGAAACCTACGAAAAATCCATATTAGCACACACGTCATAGAGTATATGTGGATTTAAAACATATGCATACATGGAATCTCGTATGACAAGTTGGTCAGCTATCAGCACAAACATTAATCAAAATGTATTAACATGCGTGCACTTCAATAATTATGACGCCTATAATTGTGCCTGATCAGAGAGTGGGGCTAATAGAGCGACCGCTCCATAAGCGAGTGTACATAGTTATATGGCTGATCCCATTAAATTAACAAACAGTTAATAATGTTAATTTGCCTTGTGTATGTATGCATCACATGCTAATACTTTCTAATAAACACATATCTGTACTATGTGGATTGTTTTTATTTATTTGTGATTGTTTTTTTTTTCTCTTAATAATCTAATTTGGTATTCCGTGTTTCCTTAAGCAAACGCTCATAAAATGGAGTGGTTCGCTTTGTGTCAATCAAAACAAAACAAGAGTAAAATGGAACATATACGTATACCTACAGTATGTCTAGTATAGGTCAAGTAAACAGACTTATCAAAGTTATTCATCATCGGATCTAGTATGCATGTGCAGTCATATATTAAGACAAACCATACTATTGCTTACACAGGCACTTACTGTTAGAAGCAGATCCTAACTATAGGAGACGAGCTATTTAACAGTGGTCGTTTTATATAATTAATATTTTTTTAATAGTCCCAAACTTTTGGAGTGAAACTGGGTACTGAGCCGAATTGCTCTCTCGATAGTAATCTGGTATTAGGATAGGATATACATATATAATATATTTTTCTTATGAATAGATTCATAGTATTCACAAATTTCGAACAAATTCTGTATACCCTGAACCTATTGAAAATGGGAAATCAGGGTATAATGTTTTTGTGAAAAA